AATAAAGCTCTGCTTTAGCCTTGAAACAGCTGCAAATTTAAAGGACGTGTATTTTTATGTTATTTTACAACATATCTATTTTAAAAAATATTATGACAACAGTTGACTCTTTTTCAGTGAACGGACACAATGGCACGCAACTTTTAAGAATAACCACACACTATGAATAATGAATGCTGAGTAATCAAATGGAACAGTTCACATGTAGGTGCCATATTATTTGTTGACAATACTCAAAAAACAATTTTGGAAATCAAAATCAATACAGAGATTATTAACTAAATCTAAGAATTATATTATAAAGGATATTGTTTAAAAGTAGTTTGATTTTATTAGTTCATAAATCTAAGTGACCAACGAAACGATTTGGTGGGATCTACTGTCAACAGCACCTGTTGTGAACATACAGAAAGCCTCTCTCTCTGCCTGTGTAATACCATTGATAAAGTTCTACATAAATCAAAACAAATCATTAAAAAGTCACTAATTGTAAAAAAAATAAAAGAAGTTAAGGAACAAGTATGCACAGGTATATTATAATACTTTTCCAGCTCATGCACTTGCAAGCCAGCTCTTTGATGAGTTTCTTCTACTTCCCTTGTATAAAATGCAACGTTCTTCTTAGGTAAAAAGACACATTTCATCAAAATCAACCACCTTAATGCTGACCTATATATACTGAGACGTTCTTCTCAATCACACCAAGTGAATTAATATTTCTGAAATTTTCTGAAAAAAAGTTTTGAAAATATTTTTCAAAAGGAATATTGAACATTTCCTTATGTTAATCTGTGCTTGTGCACTTCCACCAAAAATAGTCACAACTCGCACTATCACATTTCACTTGTGACATTCTCAAACTGCTCCCATTCCAAGCTCCTTCAACAAGAGAAACCTGTTCAGCGTATCAGCTGATACGTTTGAAATATCTTCCATTTATATCCTCTCCCTCTCATTCTTAAATTCAAAGTAACTAATTCATGCAATAAACACCAATCTAGTAAAGGGTGATCTGTATCTCCCTGGGTATCATGTGGCATTCTCCTACTGTTTCTATCTGCACTCTCCCAACTCTTCATGTTTCCGCATCTAATTTTGTCTCACCTCTCTGTTTCATCTTGCTTTTTACACTCTAAGGTTTTCTAGTCAAGACACTCCAATTCCCTATGCATCCATACATGTTACACATGACCTTCATACAGCCAGCCTCCCGTCATCGTCAGCCCCAGCAGATCAATAGGAAACAGTGATAACAGTACGAATGCATGGGAGAAAACTAACTAACAAAACTAATATTTTGTTAAAATGTAACTTTATTAGTCTTGATAGTAATTTTGGCCACAATTGTCAAAACCACTACTAACTTGGGGAAATAATTTTGGTGCCTACCTAGCACAAAGTACTAAAGTGGCCTGACACTCACCATGCAAAAACTGTTGCCCTAGCCCGGGCAACTAAGCTAGTAAATATATTAATTGGAGTTTACTTATTAAATTTAAAACTGAATAAATTTCTGTGGTCCACTACTGGGCACAAAGGAAAATCCACTAAAAAATATTACTAACTTTATAAAATTCTAATGTTTTTCTCTGCTTTTGGGTTTCCTCTGTCTGGCTCAGATAAATGATTGTTACAGAGCCACCCGAGTAGATCTGAACCACTGCTCCTAACAACTTCGCAAAATCCAACAAGGAGTTTCTACAACATTTAATGCGAGGAAGTTACATGCTCATGTCCTAGAGCTTCTTTCTTCGATACCTGACATTTTCTACCTGTATCAGCTCTGTTTTCACCCGAGACTGGTTAGTGGCATTTATTCCGTGGAGAGGAAAGTCGCAGTGTTACTACGAGGTGGAAATGTGCTGAAGCATGTACTGTCACTCCCTGTTACCAAATCTCTGGCTAGCATAAGACCAGCTACATGTTTCAGAAGGAAAACATGGAAGAGATCCTGGAGATTTGCCTAATCTTCAGAGCGACAGAAAGTACTGATGATGAATTTCTGGCTACGTATCTGGTGAAAAGTTGAGAGGTTCTGGCCTCTGGAACAGCACCTTACATCCATGGTGAGAAGGAGCCCTGTTTAGGGCACAAGCTTCATCTCACCGACATGTTGCTCTTATCTTTGGATAAGGACAACGTCGGGCAGACAAGAAGCTTCTCAAGAAAACCAGGAGGTGTTACAGAAACGGATGCAATACAAACTCAACCCTACATACGGACACCTGAGCAGAGAGAAGAATCAGATGCTACGGAAACAGGCAAGAGAGACTGTAAATCTTGTTTAGGAGGAGATGTTTTGTATAGCTGCTATTACTTTCAAGTGTCGAGGAGATCTCCACTATTACAGCATTAAAATCAGTACTTCTAACTTTTCAGGCAAAAAGAGCCAGAGAAAAAGAAAGAAAAGATGATACTCCACATTACTGACACCATTATCTCTCAGAATTACTGATAAGCCAGGGGGACAAGATCTTGAATTCATATAGATAATACGCCAGCAGATCCCAGGAGGATACACTTTTGGTGATACAAGATAAAGCAAACCACCAAACCACATCAGAGAACTGGATGATCTGCTCCTTTAGTCTGTATCTGTAAAACACGAGAAGAACTACAAAGGACACCCATCTGAGAGATGTGAGCTACAAATGCCATGCAGTCAGTAATAACAAATCAGGTGCTCCCAAATTTTATTCCTAGAGTACTTTTTAAAAAAACAAAAAGGATAATGACACTCTGGGCCTGTGCATTCAATATGTAAAGTTCAGTTAATCACAAGCATGGAAGTTCATTAGCCCAGTGCACTAGAGAAAAACTGCATTTGGGAGAAAGTACAGACATGAAAATGCGGAGGGACTCTCCCTACCCCACTGCCACCAGGGACTAGAGGCCACTATTAAACAGTCCAAAAAAGGCAAACTGTGGCAAAAACATCACTCTCTAATTCTGGGTTATGGGTGAAATTAAATTGAAATACACATTACACATTGAAAAACAAAACAAACAGACAAAAAACCCAAACAAAAACGTCAGCAAGCAATTAATTCGAATAGGAAATTTTGTGCTAAAGGAAACAGACAAGAAAGCAGAAGGCCTCCAACTTCTGATTCGTGTTCTCAAAGAATACAAACATGCTATGAAAAAAACCCCAAACAACCAACATCTATTTTCTTCTCTGTAAGGAGAGAAAAAAAGCATTTTTACAGATAAGGAGGCCATTAGTAACCAAAAATGAATGTTAAAAGACAACTTTAAATTAGCACACCCAGATAATTTATGCCTTACAGCCCTAAAAGTGTTTGTGAGACTATCATTTCAATGATGCTAATTTTCAATACATTTTGGAACACCAGAGAATTTCAGTAAGACTGCTAACATTTTCTGCCAGTATTTGAAGATGGTAAGCGGTATGATCTCAGTAATTACAGAGCTCTAAGCTATTATTAATCCCAGGCAAAATAAGCAGCAAAGGATAAATTCACTGGGAAATTACACGAATAAAACTGATGCCAGTCAACACCATTTATAGAAACTTGATCAGTAAAACAGAAAGTTTGATTTAATCATCTGATAAAGTTACTAACTGTGGTCAGTAGAAGTTACTCCACAAATGAAATGTGGAATTTTGAACAGCATTTAGCCCTACAGCCACACAACATTCCAAGTAAGAAATTATTATCAGTGTCATCAAATGTGATTAAGATACAGGTAGAAAATAGTAGCAGTTAGCAGGAAATAACAATTGAAAAAGAGTGCTTTACATTACTCCAATAAAATCATCCCGTACTAGCTCAACATTATCTAGGAGTATCATCAACGACACAATAGTAAGTAACGTTGACAGCAGTTCTAGCACAAAAAATGTCAGACTGGTTAATAAAGGTGGGAGCGTGGTTATTCACAGTAATAGGGCTTGCTAGCTAAGACAGGGACGGTGTATTACAGCCAAGTGGACTTACACGGCAAGCAAGAAAGAAAGGATGCAGGGAATACCCAGAAAACGTGCACAGAAACCAAGGACTTACAAAATAAACAGGCTTCATGGTACAGAAACAATTCATAGAATCATAGAATCACTAGGTTGGAAAAGACCTTAGAGATCATGCAAGCAAGAAAGAAAGGATGCAGGGAATACCCAGAAAACGTGCACAGAAACCAAGGACTTACAAAATAAACAGGCTTCATGGTACAGAAACAATTCAATATAAATGTCAGTGAAACTTTATGACAAAAAGGAGTAATAAACACCACACACACACCTCCCTCCATGTAAGTGCATAAGATCAGAGATACCACTTTCGTTCACAGCATAAGTGACACTGGAATAGTGTATACAGCTGTATGGCCTTCGCATTGTTTCACAATATGGCAAAGATCATGGTTTATCTTCATGTTTTCTCCATAATTCACCAAAACTGGGGAGGAGTTCTGTACCTCCCTAAGCTGTTAATCAGAGTGCCCCACATGCTGTTATTAGCACAGCGAGGGGTTTAGAAAGTTGCACAGCACCAATATGAAAAGGCTGCAGAGTACCAAGGAATGTTACATGAACAGAGACACAGTCACCAGTCCATTCCAGCAGGTAGGAGAGCTCAGGCCTAATGTTAGTGGCAGGGCAGTACTGACTGTGGTGTGGACACAGCGGTTAAGACAGATTTTACCACTGATGTGTTCTGGGGTTATTTCCTACCATAGCAATTACTTAACACCAAAGCCACTTAAAGAATTGTACAGTACTTCTTTGCTTTGCTACGGTGTGGCTCTTCAATCTGTAGCTTAAACAACAACCCAGAATAAACACAGACGTTTTGTCAAACATCTCTATTTGAGAGAGCTGGACAGCCACAGCCGTCAATGACAGCGCCGGCAGCTGTCGTCAGGTATGAGCACAGGAGCTAACTGCACGCGTGGCTTCACCGGGGGAAAAGTGAAAGGCGGCTGGACAGGCCACCGCGTACCCCAGGTAAGCTCCTGTTCGGCGGTTGCTTTTGGCTTACCTGGTCGTGAGACCCTTGAGCCGCTGAATGCTGCTCCTCGCAGGCTGCTGTCAAGAGTCTGGGGGTTTGAGTTACCATGGAGATCACCACATCTGACAGCTGAGAGGGCTGCAATGAGAGACACAGGTAGCGTCAAGCCAGTTTTCATCACCTCATCAAACACAAGCGTTTGACTCCTTTTGCTTTTAGCGTCTGCCAAGGTACTGTCTCCCAAGTTGGGAGCCTTGGCAGAACTGGAAAAAAACCCAACACCCATCACAGAATGAATTAGAGAGGCAAGGGCAGGCCCCGGCGACTCACAGCATCGGAGCGCTTTGCAAAGCTGTGCAGTTTTTCAGGAACCTGGAAGAACCCTAATACAGCCTGAGCTTGGGTCAACACTTTTCAGCCCTTCTGGTCAGGTATAACACAGCAAGGAATTCATCCAGAACCGCTGCTGAATGCGGGGCCGAAACGCCAGCGTGCTGCCTCAGAACAGCGGGGTGGGACACCGAAGTGCTTCCTGAGAAAGCTTCCAGTGGGAATTGATTGAGCATCACTTCTGTGCAAAAAGAAGTAAGTAGGCCAAAGAAATTACCTTCCTGTATGTTTTGTGGGGAAAGTCTAAAGGAAAGCATTTATGAAAATCAAACGTGAAAAGACATCCTGGCATTCTGCAATAATAAACCTATTTGCGGACTTTTCCATACCTGCCATTGAGCAGGATGCGTAAAGCCCGATTTCTTATTTCCTCTGCCATTTGACCCCCGTGTACCTTGACTAATTTCCTACTCCTGCATTTCAAGCCTTAAGTCTTATGCTCAGTTTTTGTCTATATAACCTAATAATTAAATGCTGTAAAGTGAAATGAGATATTCACTGGAGACTTCTAAAATTAATTATACTCTTCCACACAAATGTCTAACAGCTTTTAAAACTATATGTTAAGGACTGTTTTATGATATAATCAATTAAATAAATAACATATTTAAACACATCAACAGGAGAAGCTTTCCATAGATCCAGTTCTAATTCTCAGTCTGCAGTACTACTACACACAATCACAGAATCACAGAAGGGTTTGGGTTGGAAGGGACCTTAAAGATCCCCTAGTTCCAACCCCCCTGCCATGGGCAGGGCCACCTTCCACTAGACCAGGTTGTTCAAAGCCTCATCCAGCCTGGCCTTGAACACTTCCAGGGATGGGGCATCCACAGCTTCTCTGGGCAACCTGTTCCAGTGCCTCACCACTCTCTCCGGGAAGAATTTCTTTCTGATATCTAATCTAAATCTCCCTGCTTTCACTTTAAACCCATTACCCCTTGTCCTGTCACTACAGGCCCTTGTAAAAAGTCCCCCCCAGCTTCCTTGTAGCCCCTTCAGGTACTGGCAGGTGCTATAAGGTCTCCCTGGAGCCATTCCTTCTCCAGGCTGAACAAGCCCAATTCTCTCACCCTTGTTCTCCTTTACATTGCCGTGAGACAAGTACACCATCTAACAAACACCAAAGGAGTTGCACCTATTCTAAGCAGAGGTGAATGACTATACAAGGGACAAGAAATGACTATTTAAGCATCACGATGTATTATCGATACATCAGCTAGCAGTCCGCAGTTATTCTGCGTTTGCTGTGTATAAACCTCCATCTACCTGGCTACCCATCTAATTCTCAGATGGTATTCTGAGATGCCTGTTGTAACTTCTCCATCTTCTTTTTGGATTGTCTCCCATCTCATTTTCCTGGGAAGCATGTTATGTTTATGCAAAATATAATATATTCAAAGAAGCATAACTCTGTGTAAATATAAAATCTGAAAATCCAAGGAACAATTAGAGGATTTCTCTATTACTACTTCTTCACGTCTTACAGGAAAGTCGTTAAGAGTATTGTTATATTAAAATTATCTCTCAATACTCTGACATAACCTTATGCAACAGTAACTACCACCTACTGAGGCTGTTCTGATGACAAATGCGACAATAATAACTGGCTCATCTGTGCTGAAGGCTCCTGCAAGGCTCAGTAGAATGCCAGATTCTCATATTTTAGCACTGTAGATGGAAGTATTATTGTACTAATTCTTTCTGTCTTAATTATACTAATAAATTGGTTGGGCCATATTTTCATTTGTTCTGTTTACAAGTCTTATATGCTGGATCACTGGTAGCTTTTATCAGTGACGGGACCACTTAAAGGCCATCCACCTTCCCATGTTGCTACAGGGCAGGCAGGAGGTGTCCGTACAGGCAACACTCCTAACACAGGCTGGAAGAGCTAACCAAATCCTAGAAGACGACTGGCTTTAGTTACCTTACCAGGCAACAAATCAGCATCTAGAAGCTGACACCAAATTCAAATGAGAACTAAAGCACATGCTTTTCATCACCTCTGACCAACCGTTAGTGCAGCTATCAGAAGCAGAATGCAGAGATTCTCCATTTGTTGATATCAAGGTTTAGCCGGACTTTTCTAGAGGACAAATTTTTGTGAAAATATAAGCTGTCCTGTAGTCATACAGAAGTTACTGGGTTTCATACAGATAGGTAAAGTTTGCAGGACCGAGAAAGGGAGATCAGGTGATGTAGTCATCCCTTCCTGATCATAAATTAAGTATATTATGATCTGAAACGACCATCTAGCTTTGTAACGAAAGCACTGGATGGCGATGAGCACGGTGCATGCTACGCTGATGGTGCTAGCAGGTACTTTGTGACACACATGCACGTATACACAAACATACAGTGAGTGAGAGTGGGGTGTGTTTGGGCCATATGTGGAATTAAATGGAATTAAAACCATCCTTCCAGAGACAGGTGAACTAAATTCTACTGCAAATATTATTCTGGCTCCTAATCTGGGAAGGCTATTCTTTCCTCCATGAGCTGAAAGGACTTGGACACAGGAGAGCGGCAGCAGGAGCTCACTTCACAAGGGTCATTCAGGGCATCAGTAGGACCGAAGACAAGCAGTAGGAATGCGGCTCTCCGAATCTGTGCCTCTGTGCCAGAGGCGCAGAGCAAGGAGTGACAGTGTTTTGTGTTACTTGCCAGTCCTGTCCCTGCAGGCAGTAAGCCTTCTGGGCAGAAAAAGCTTCCTAACGGAGTATTTCAGTGGGTCAGACAAGCAGTTCCCCCCCTCAGCTAAAATGCCGTGGCTGCACAGCATCACGCCTCCCGCTCTCTCGACAGCAGCCTTACTCCAGGCACACAAGTAACAAGAGCTTCTCACAAAAGGGGGAAGGGGAGAGGAAAAGGAAATACAGATAAGAAATGGCCTAAACGTTACACTGAACCACTCTCACAGTTCGCAACCTTAAAAATTTCGTCCCTTAAGCAAAGATGAGGAAAGACATTGGAAGTGTCAGTTCAGCGAGCGTTAGTGCTGTTGCTGTGCCTCGGGCTGCTAAGCTGCCAGGAAATCTAACCACATCTGAATAGCAACCAAAAATAATTTCATTAGTTTTCACTAATTGTAGATCTGGTACACAGGGTTTGACTTTGGATGCTGCACTGCTTTTGAAAACACCGAAGTCAGCCCAACACCACAAATCCATCCACAGGTCTCCTTATCTCTCAGCGACCCATCAGGCACAACCTCCACGAAGCAAAGCCATGGCAGGCCCTGACGCCAGCTCGCATGCAGGCAGTCGATACAAAACCCCTGCTTTCATCAGAAGCGCGAATTTAACCCATGATTACTACTGCTGCCTCTCACCCCGGTTCCCCCAGCGCGGCCAGAGGGCCGATGCCTGCCGGGACGCGGCGGAGTACAGGCGCGGTGTCAGTGGCACGCCGCACAGCACCACCTGTTTGCGTGGAGAGGGCAGTGAAGTGAGGCCCGCTGAAAGGAGGCCTCAACTGGGTGCTGCCCTTAGTAGGCCGTAGACGAAATAACAGCATTGACCCACCGCTTCAGATGCAGATTTCCTTTTGCAGGCACCTGCACAGCTTCAGAAAACTGAAATTGGGGGCCAGATTTATAGGACGCACTTGAAATTATCAGCTGTGCAGGTGGCGAGGGGTCAGAGGACCTAAATAGGTTGGTAGATTTACTCTTGATTTAAAACCAGAGTAATCGGTTACATCATTTAGGATGAGTTTTTTTGAATCCTACTAAATCCCTCAAAGTAGATTTAGATATTTAAATGTTTCCAATCTGATTTATTCTTAAATACTATTTCTGCATAGTTTTGAGTAAATTGTTTTATTTCTTTTTGCTAAACAACATAGATGAGGAGAAACCAAACCAATGACATTACTGCTCTGTTTCATCACATTCCTCTTAACGCTGTTCCATAATAAACAACCATAACTTGGGTGACTAATTTATTATCCCCCTCCTTTCTGGCTTTTTTAAAAGTAGAGGAGAGTTAAAATGATAAATAGGCCATCTTCAACAGAAACTGAACTACAGAAGCGTTTTTGAGAGACTTCACTGTATCTCTGGGAAAGAAATGCAGGATACCTACTGCACAACATGAATATTTTGCTTTCTTTCAAACTGACAAACAGCTTTAATATTTTTCAAACCACCCAAGGGACTATACTTGTAGTAAACCAGGTCTAGATGGAAGATTCCAGTAGGACATCAATACTTATGCCACCCTTCTGCAAAAAATGACCTAAAATGTATTTTCTAAAGCAATTCCAAAGTTATGAATCAGTGAAGAGAACATCCCAATGTTTTCAAAACTTTTGCTGATGTGCCAGGTTTTTCGTTCCTTCATGGTTTAACATTACATACAAATACAATCACAGCGGTTTAACCTGAGCTGTGGCTACCCCAGGGCCTGCCCAGGCGGAACACAAGGATCATGGCTAGCACCGCTGTCAAGTGGAGCCAAGACCAGGATCGCCATTGTCAGCACAACACAACGTGCTGGGTTTCTCTACTGTGTTTCCAGAGTACCTGTGCACTGGAAATTCAACCTCTGTTCAGAAAAACCCACACAAGGCCTGCATACAAATCTATTTGCCCTAAGGTCTTCTAGAGTAAATAAATACCATTTAATGGCTTGCTATGATAAAAACAGTTCCTCTCTAGACACTTGTGTATCTATCATTCCCACACAGCCTCCTCCTCTAATGGAAGTCAGGAGAGGTTTTTTATTTTAAATCTTACCATGGACGAAAGC